GTGTTCATCCGGCTCTACACCTTGTTATCTCAGATTCTCCAGCATCGGCAGTTCCTACTACCTCTATCATAGAAAGATGGATTTTTTTTTTATTTTGACTGTGCTGAGTAGATGCACCAAATGGAGGCCATGTGCTTTCTTCCATTTGAAAAATCTTGGGATCCCAGACACTTCCCTGGACCCATCAGCAGATGATTTTAAAAGAATTTAAAAGTGACCTTGCAAGCTCCTTAATTATCACCTTTTTAGGTATCTTCCCACTTATGCTGGAGGGAGGCCAAAGGAATTATCATCACAGAATGACACAGCCCAGCACAAATCTATTCACCTCACCTTGCCTGTGCTGCTTCTTTGAAAGAGCTATTCAATTAAACTCACTCCCTGTTACTTCTCCATAGCTCTGCAAATGTTCCTTATTAAGAATTTTCCAATTTCCCTCTGAAAGTCATTATTGAATCTGCTTCCACCACTCTTACAGGCATTACATTACAGATCGTATCAATTTGTTTCAGAAGGTTTCTCAGTATCTCATCTATGCTTCTTTTACCAACGAACATAAATCGTGCCTTCTGGTTACTGCCACTGGAAATTGTTTTCCCATATTTACTCTATCAAACACTGCATCATTTGGAACATGTCTATTAAATCTCCCCTTAACCTTCTTTGCCCTAAGGAGAACATCTTTCATCTCTCCAAGTAACTGAAGCAGTAGACTTCTATTGAATCTTTTCTGCACCACCTCAAAGATCTTAACGTCCTTTCTAGGACCTAATGCCTAAAACTGACCACAGTCTTTCTACTGAGGTCTTACCAATGATTTACAAAGATACAGCATCAGAATATTAAGTATGATTTCCTGTCCCACCACCACTCTCACTGCTGATCACAGCAGCTTCGCTGTCATAAACAAAGGGAGGCTCTGGGGAGGAAGGCCCACCTCAGAACTCCCAGCCAATCTGATAATTAACTGGCTTCTTAAAGACCTCAGCATACCAAAGGGTGGATGTGCAGGTGGGTGTACAGAATGATAGATCAGAAGTGGGCAGGAAGACAGTGGGTAGGCCAGACTTTTTATATTGAGCCACCCTACCTTCAAATATACAAACAAATGGCTGTAAAATCTAACTCCACATATTACCTTCACGAGGTAAGAAGGAAGAGGCATGCTTATTACCATCTAAGCCCTGCCTGCTGTCCCACCAGATCACTAGGATTGCTTGAGCACCGCCGTGGGGAATGAGCAGTATCATTGTATAGCAGAAACCTACTGACATTTCCCTTGACAATAGCATTAATCCTCCTACCACCACCATCCTGCCAGTGCCATTGCTGCCAATCAGCCAGTCCAAAATGCTGCTAATCATGCTAGAAGTGGCACAGTCTGAAACCAGGCACTCACAACCTAGATCTGCCTGAGGATATCCTCCAAGGCCATTTGCTGTATCCCCCAGTGAAAATCAAGAGGTGTCTAGTGATCATGCTTCAGTTGGACAGTGCAGTTGACTTGCCAACCAAGTGGTTTCCTCTCATGCAGTGTAAGTGTTGGTTTTCTTCTTGAACTTGTATCCTTGTGAAATATTCTTACAAGTACAAGATGAAAATCTTTGACAAACTGCTGTTTTCCAGCACCGTAAAAGAAGCAATATTATCATCTTGCTTAGTTTACACTTTTTGTTACTTTTATTCCTGTCTCACAATTTAATTGTCAGCTTTTAAAAGCAAGGTCACCTTCTTTAATGTTATTGGTGAACATTTTCTAGTTTCCTGGGTTGACATTCCGTCTTTGTTGTACTCACATAACAGAAATGGCAAGTAATTTAGAATTTAGGTAACTGAATTTCCATTATTAATGTGATGCTCTCAAAAACTAACAAGGATCTCTTCTTTCAGTTTGTTCACAGTATTCCAAAGGCGTTTATGCCATTTTTGGGTTCTATGATAAGAGATCTGTGAACACGCTAACGTCTTTCTGTGGAGCATTACACACATCCTTCATCACTCCAAGCTTCCCCACGGAAGGAGAAGTTCAGTTTGTAATTCAACTGAGGCCACCACTGCAAGGAGCACTATTAAGCCTTCTTATCCACTACAAATGGGAGAGATTTGTCTACCTGTATGACACAGACAGAGGTAAGCAGTCATATTCAAATCATTCATTTTGCATTTTTCTAAGGTATTCATGCATGGCTACTTAGAATGTGATAAGTTAAATTGTTAACCTTTTGATTGGCACTGGCAACCACAGGGTTGGGGCAAAGTGTCAATAGTGGTGAGCATGTGGAATGCGCTGCCAGCAGTGGTAGTGGAGTCAGATACTTTAGAAACTTTTAAGTGACTCTTAGATAGGCACATGGATGACAGTATAATGTAGAGTATTCAGGCTAGTTTGGTCTTAGTAGGATAACAGGTCAGCACAACATTGTGGGCCGAAGGGCCTGTACTGTGCTATGTTCTATGTTCTAAATCTGCGTACCCAAGGAGCTTATAGTTTTTATTCAAAATATGTCATTCAAACAAATCTTACTCCTGTTTGACATTCATGGGTTCTCTGATATATTTGCCCTATTCCTAAAAAAATGAAAACCTGACTTTTATTAAACCTCAGCAATATTGAAGGAAATAAATTATAATTAGTCTTGAAATAGAGTACTGCAGGAAACTTCTTTGTTTTGTTTAAATTTGAAATTATTTCATTTGATGTTTGGGGTAGTCCAGAAGAGTTGTTACTTTTCTACTTTCAGCAAGAATGCGTAGAGAATGCTTGGTCAAGAGCATTAGTCTGTTCAAATAACTGCACCCAAGGGAAACTACTGCTTGATTGACAGCTGTAACACTTACAATTATTCCTCAATGTTTACTTATACATGATAAAGAGGCATCACACACTTGCAATTTCTGCTTTGATATTTTAAAGGTTTGACTGATTGAAACTTTGATAGAACTGTAATAAAAGTAGTTTTTATGTTATGAATTATTGAATTTTGAAGTGTTTTCACATTTGACCTTGTTTCTATGTTCATACCTTGAATGTGTACAGTGTGTGTACTGGATAAATGGCTATGAAAAGCCACAGGTTTGAATGGAAGATATTAGGGACTGTGGCTGGGGGTAGGGGTTTAGGAATGAAGGTACAAGAGACTTTGGTGGATTTACGGAAATGGCCTGGGGAGATTGTGGGTGACGTGTAAGGGCTATAGGGCTATTCTCTGTTTCATTCCTTTTGTTGCCATTTGGGACTTCATCGCAGAACATCCTACTTCTGTAAACACTTTGCTTTCAAGGTGGTTGGTCTGAGTCAGGAAATTACCCAACTCTGCAGCCTGTACCTCATCCATGACTTTGGTGTTGATTGGGACTCAGTTGGATTTGATACCAGTGTGGTAGATTTGTACGTTTGAACCTTTAGATTCATTACTCTTAAAGCTTTTAATTGGGAAAAATAATGTAGTATACTAAGATGATTTTTTGAAGGCACCTATTTACGTTGCAATCTTGTCCAAAGTAGTGGCAGAATTTCATACGATGATAGAATTCTGTTTGACAAATCTGAATGGGGTCATTGCAATATAGACAGAAATATCTTCATTTTCAAAATATAAGGAGCAAGGATCTCAGTAAAGTTTTCAGTGTCTATTAATGTACCATTTGATTTTCCAATGCTCAAAAAATAAGTTGTATGCATGTTTTTATTTGGAAGGCAGTGTTTTGCATTACAGATGCATCATTCCAGTTTGGCACCATTAAAGAATAATGTTTTAAGCCACTATATAAACATTAAAGACTAACGTGAACATCAGAATATTTGCAGATGTCTGAAACCTAACTATATAATTCAGTATACACCATTATATTCTGAAGTTATCTCTGAAGTTAGTGCATGCCTTTCTGGGGTTTATCTCCTTCCATCATATTGCATGACAAAACAGGTTCATAGGATCAGCTGCTTCTCCAGTCTCTAAAATTATTGTGTTATATTTTTGCACCTATCAAAAGAGTCCCCTTGTCTCCTACAACAACTTAAAGTTACACTGTTCTTTTAGTGTGGAAAAATGTCCCAGAGTTCTTCACTGAGATGCAATCAAACAATAAACATCAAATCAAAGTAGAGATTCTACAAGAGCTTTGTTCATAATGTGGGTTTTAAAGGTGAACATCAAAGGAGGTGAGGAATTAAAAATGACTTAGGGAGCCACAATTCCAGAGCATGAAGACACAACCAACAAATCTAAAGCTTAGGAAGGGGGATTGCAGAGTAAGGAGTCAAAAGATCATAGGGGAATTTTAACCCCACAATTGGGTGTTCTTGGGTCATGTAGGTGATTAAAGTGTGACAAAGCCTATCTCTAACCCCAAGTAACTACCCTCTCTCTCCATTTCCAGTAATAAAGCAGAAAGGATTGGCGGCAACCTACTCCCATGAGATAAGTTGTAATTTACATATTGTAATTATAGCAGATTAAGAAAAAATTGACAGAATCTTTGGCAATATTTATACCAGCGAAACAGGTGTTATGTTCCATGGCACGTTCTTGGGTTGTTTTCCTTAACATGGAATTATCACTATCATGCTGAACTGGTAACTAGAGTAGATTCAATTTACTTAAAAATGTCAAACAGTTTGCAAATGGACAACTGATAGCTTATCAGTTGCAGAGCAACCAATGTACAAATCCTCAGTTTAGCAACCTGCTGCTTGCAGTCTTCATGACTGCTGTGCAGGCAGTGTCATCTTTGTCCTTGATTCATTAACATACTCAACTCTTAAAGCAATACAGTTTCCTCCCCAAAATCTGCACAAAGAGTAAAATATGCATATAAAAACCAAAAGAACTGCGGATGCTGTAAATCAGGAACAAAAACAAAGTTGCTGGAAAAGCTCAGCAGGTCTGGCAGCATCTGTGGAGGAGAAAACAGAGTTAACGTTTCGGGTCCGGTGACCCTATATTAGCTAATTACAAAACTATTTGCACAGAAACAAGAATTGCAGATTTATTAGTTTAGGAGACTGAGTTTTTATAAAGCATTAATTGTTTGGCCATCCTTCTGGAGATTTAGACTTCTCACTTGAATGTTCTTGACTTATATGTATGTTGATCTCTTCTTCGTTGTTACAGCCCGTTGGTTGTTGTCAGTATGATCTTGCACACCTTCATTATCCAAACACTACTTTTATGTGTTCAGTGCACATTAGCCAAGACTTCTAGAGGTATCCCTTGTCATCCACAACCTGGCTGTCAGGTTTGAACCTCGAAGTTGTCCAGAGTGTAAGCACTATAACAGCTTCCTGGATAGCAGGCACACACTTCAGCTACATCCAGTAACCAGAAAAGATTCCACAATTTGCTATAGTTCCTGATGGAATAACCCAAATCATTAACCTCCTTGGTGAAGAATGATGAACTGTCTTGTTTGACCTGCTTCCTGAGTTGGTCACAGCAAGGTTAATTTCAAAACAGATCCCTTCACTTGTGGATACATTTCTCCCAGATCTTAATGAATGTACATTGTAAAAGGAACCAATTTGACCAGGCTTTCTCAAGTTAACAGAGAGTGAGTTTATTAATTACTAAACATAAGAAGAATTAGTAATACAACCCACAAACACACAGATTGGAGATAAGGGGTGAAACCAAAAGGATAAAAGTTTAAAAAAAGTCTCTGAATTGTTTGCGGAGTGGGTAGTTAAAAGTTGCAGCTGTTGCAAGATGGATACTAGTAAGCAGGTGTAATCCATTCTTGCCTCATAAGATTGTACCTGTGAATATATTCCAGAGCGCAGGGATGTTCAGATTATTCATAGCTTTGCTAATGAATATGAAATAGATTGCCAACCATCAAGGTCACAAAGCTGATCTGCCTGAAGGGTTTTGAGAACTTATATCAGAACTCTAACCTGCCGTAGGGAAACTGAATTTTTGTCTCCTATTTAATTAATTTCCCATGCCCAGTCTTCTGTAAACCTCTGGTGAGCCTGGATAATTCCGTCATTGTGTCTGCCACTGTGCTCATGCAGGTCTCAGGTGCACTTTCATTGTTGCTGCCAGTGTGCTGTTTCTGCTTGTTTTTCACCTGCATATTATTGTAACCTTTAGTTATATCTCTGGGATGAGGTTTCTTTCATAGCAAGCCTGTGTTCTTTTGCACTGCAAAACTTGCAAAGATCTTGGAATGCAACAGCCTTGCCAGGGGAGCAACAGACTACATTTCCCACACCGTTTGCTTGCTTTCTGCATCCTGATACTGTGGCCAGTGCTGATAACTGTACCAAATGCTTGCAGATGTTGTTATATGGCTACAATTGCTTCATATTTTCTGCCATCTTTTATCAGTGTGGAGATGTCATAACCTTCCTTTCTCTCCAAGGGGATTTTTATAAAAATGCTCTACATATTGAAGCTAAACCAGGTCCCATTATCTGCTCGGGCAGCTTTGCCTTTGAGAAACAACAGCCTTCATCCTTGTCCAAGGCTGCTTGGAGTCCTCAATGCTGTAGGTCACGCAGTGTCATCCTGACCCTTGGCTCATTCACAGATTTAGCAACAACTTATATCCTGAGTCTAAATTGAATTCCAGTGTGGATGGGGTTGGTCACCATTTTGAAATGTTACCATCATTCACTCTAAAGAGTAGGCATATGTTAAACTCACATGCATTTTTGCAGCAGAGCCTGTGTCAGCTGCTTGGTCCCTTGCACCTACTTGTAAAATAAAACATCAAAGAGGAACACAAATAAATACCTTATCTGAGTAAGAATGCAGGAGACAACTGGATACATCTTATAATGAACTAACTCAGTGACAGAATCCTTGGAGCATTCATATACGTAAGATTAGGGTAAGTTCTCAACAATAGAATTAAGAACAAGATAAAGATGTTATTTGTTGTAATATTAAAGCAAGAAAGGTAAACTTGTTGTTGTCTTACCAGGCCATGCGACTGCTGTCTCATTAGAGTGAGATGACTGGTGGTTTAACCTGAGGGCCTGAAGGGGAGAGGTTGAGAAGGAGAATCCTTCATGGTAACATCAGCCAGGGAAGGAACTGAACCCACGCAGTTAGCATCACTCTGTATTGCAAGCCAACTGAGCTAACCAACCTGTAGAAATTGTCAGGCAGGATCACATCATCCGT